CGACACGCTGATGACCTTTATCAGATGCAATCTGAACAGGAGTAAAACCAGCATTGTCTTTCACCGTTAATTCCTGCTTAGTACCGGCATAAACAAGAACAGTGCAAGCCTCTACATTTCCTCTTAAAGCAGCCCAGTGCAAAGGGGTACAACCTAATAGCATAGGATCCTCAAGTCATCAGACCACAAAGAAGACCACCAAAATAACCCCGAAAACAAAAGCACAATTAAAAGAAAAATATCAAACAAAAGACTAAATAAGCAACCAACTAGTTACAAAGAGTCATTGAGAAGTTGCAATTTCATTTTTAACATAAAGCATGATTGGAATTGATGGTTCTCTTGAGGATTGGCAGACAGATTTATTAACCATTGAAAAAGAATTCAGTATAAGGAGTATAGAAACATGGGCTGAAACTTTTTTCAATTAAAAAAGAAAAAACCACAAAGTGAAGGAATGATGTGAGCATGTGTCACTAGCGAGTGCATGCAGGCATACAGCGTTTTTTCTTCCTGTTAATTTTTTGCTGGCATTTTATTGTACTACAATTTTCTAAGGCTTTGGATTGTATAAGATTTATCTTCGAAAATTGCAGTGATGGTGCTACCCCTTTTATGTTTCTGGTTTTATTATTTTTGTCCGTTCTTTAATTTATTAGGGCTTTGGATTGAATAATAATTATTTACCTGTGCTGATCTTGTTTTCATGTGTTAAATTGGCCAATTGACCTTAGAATCTTCTTTAAAGGGTTATAAAACTATAAATTGGGCTCAGAATTCTTAATCATTGCATATCGGGCCAACATTTAAAATAATAAATGTAATTTGGCTCAGACTTCAAAAAGAAAAGTACAAATTATGGCAATTAGGAACCATCCAAATTCCAATCCAACCAAAACCATATGAGTTGGGTCAAGTTGATAAAATACTATTGACAGGTAACATAGCATTTTTTGGTACCCGCCACTAAACATGCATAACCACTCTCTTTTCCATAGGCAGTTTGACACATTACATAAACGGCTACGGTAGAAATTTAATTGTACTATTAAACTAACAAGCACACAATGAATATGCACATTTAGTATACCTTCTTTATCTTGTCTCCCTTGGCTTGCATCTCTAAACAGAAGTAACCTAACTGTATCTGCAAATCCCTTATATGCAGCCCTGGTTGAAAGTATCATAATGATTAATTTTCCTGTAGAGAATCTCACAACAAAAAATTTCATGTTTCCAGATATGTACGATTGCTGCAAAGAACATCATAATTTGATCAATGACTTCAATTTTGCTAATCATATGTGAAAATTTTGTCACTCTCAGCCGATGATCAAAATAGACCAATCAACATAATTGGAAAAGATAATGCAGACCAAAGCCCCACTAGTGTCTATCACAGTGTACATACAAAAAGGTACAGAAAAATTAGCTATTCCCCTTTTCAGTATAAACAATAAAGAACTAGGTCAATCATTTATGTCCTTACCACATATGCAGAAAACTACTTGAGAATGAACAAATTTAATTCATGAGACTGCAGGTTGATACTGGAGCAATTGAATGATTAAAAGCATGGTTTCAATGTCACAGAATTTCTATGTACACAAAAACCATGTCAATATGCCACAGTTAATAGCCTTTCAGCATACCAATGAAGAGGACTCCTCCCCTCATTATCAGGTGCATCAAAATCAGCATGATACTTTGCAACAATGTGATTCAAGAAAGATGTTTGCCCATATTGAGCAGCAACGTGAGCTGCCTGCAGTAATTCAAACAAGTTATGAAATAAGAGAACTATCAGCACAATACATATCCATTGCATGCATGATAACATAATAGTGGCTTTATAAAAGAAATCATACTAAATATAGTAATCATCGATAAGGCAATAATAAGTTCCTACATTTTTTGTTACTAACATAGCCATGAATGTGTATGTCTGTGTATGCATATAACGGAAAATGCTCTTGCTAGGCATTCTGACAACATAAGATGCTTATTGTTGCCGAACTGTGAATCTGGACCATTGATCATCTTCGTTCTAGCCTGACTGTTTGGTCCAGATTCATCGGTAACATAAACTTCTTTTTTCTTTTCCACATTGTCTAGCAAGTAAACATTTCTAGGATGTCTGGCAACACAGTACCAGTCAACCTGCAGTGCAAAGGCCTGGTTATCCACAATGCTGTTAACAAGAAATTTCTTAGATATGTATATACTTCATAGCAACTTGTGTTGAAGACTGGACTTCATTTTCAGTCGTTTGATCTCATTAATGGCCAATACTTAATTTAAGCGAAACTAATGACAAAGACTTATGACCAATGAATAGCCTGCTTCCTTCCTCGCCTACGTAAACCATCCAAACTCTCCACTCTCAATTCTTCATCTCCGTCCAAATACAATGGTGGAATCAAAGTTCTAAAGGTTCATATTGTTTAGTGCTTACAAAATGATCTCAATCTCAATCAACTGAAAGTTAAAAGTCCTCTAAAAGAAAATAGCATCAATAAACATAAACCTGAACTGAATAAATTAAAAAATTAATAAGACATGCATTTCCCACAAACACGTGTAGAAGAGTAGGACAAACTATTGGGAACTACTTTAAGTCAGAAGAGTAAAGCGCAGGACATAGGGAACCAAAATAGATATCACAGGATGAGCATCGTTCAGGGAATTTCCTTTTCAGCCTCATCCTAAATTCTCTCCTCTGCTCTTCAACCATCAAGCTTCTTTAATTTCTTTTGCAAAAATCAAAGGCAGTGGCTGGTGATATGACCATTTAGAACTCCAAGAAGTCACAGAGGACCATAATTTGGAGATTCTTCTGAGGTAGAGAGAGATGTATCATTTCAGATGAACAGAAGATATGGTTGTGGAGGATTTGGTGCAAATAATTGTTGGGTAGTCCCAGTTTATTTGGGCGGAAGTCAAGAAGTAAGAACTGAGATTGGAGAGGTGGTGTAGTGTTGAGAAGTGAGGAAGAAGCAGGTTTATATCCACGGAATGTGGGTCTCTCTCATTATTTTTACAACAACAACAAAAATTCATTATCCTTGCATAATCAAATACCAGGTTTATCTTATTCGAGATGGCCAATACTCAAACCAAAAGGGCATTTGAAAAGAGAAAGTAAACGAGAAAATTACCCGGTATCCATTTACATCAGCAGCCTCAACCCTAGCTCCATTCTGCAAGAGCACATCCGCCGCCGCAATTGCACCCTGCACAGCTGCCCAGTGCAACGCTGTCTGTTGTATATTCTCAGTCGCATTGACATCGCCACCATGCTTTGACAACATCAATAAAAAATATGTTCATCCAAGTCAAACCGACAGCGCTACACAATGCAGCAATCCCATACCAAACGTACAACAAACAAGCTCAACCAGCTCTTATACCAAACATAATCCCAGAATTTACCCCAAAACAACAAAAATTCAACATTTTCACACAAACCCACTGCATAACTCAATCTTTCCTAACAAACCCACCACAGAATTCAACTTCTTTTACAAAACCAAAACAGGAAAACAAGCAAATTCACAGAAATAGAAACGCATAAATACCTCAATTATGTACTGAGCTATATCGGGGAAGTTATTAAGAGCAGCCCAATGGAGGGCGTAGTAGCCATGGACGTCAGGGTTGGAGAGAGAGGCACCGTCTTGTTCGACAAACTTTCTCAGTTTCTGAAAATCGCCATAAGCAGAAGCGGAGAAGACGTCGACCACCGGCACCTCGGTAGGGTTTTTCTGGGTTTTGGAGTCCGATGACACCACCTCTATCTCTGAAGAAGCCATTTCTTGAGAGCTAACCGCATAAGGGAGAGTAATCTGTATGGGGGATCGAGAATTTGAGATTATACAGTTTCCAAGTGAATTGGGCACGGTTTATTGCTTAATTTGGTGTTTGCGAATTGAGCTTTCTCTGACTCTCTAGAAATGGTGTTCAAAAATTAACTGTGTATTTTGATGTTACGTGTGTATTTGGAAATGGTGAAATTGATGGTGATGGTTTCGTTGCATCATGCATCAGCATGAATCGTGGCGAATATATTAAAGATAATTGAAGCTTTTAGGGTTTTATTACTTTACCAATATTGGAACGTAGTAGTAGACGTGGGTTAGGTTAGGCCAGTTCGCCAGGCCAATAAGCCCGCATTTTTTACCAAAGTTCGAATTCTGCTATAGGTAAATTAGATTAATAGGGAGTAATTTAGACAATCACTTACAAATACACATATATATATATATATATAAAGCAAAAGGCAGAGTGAAACATTCAAAATACCAGAAAATGCTCATGGTTAATTCAAACATTAAGAATTGAAATTATTAATTAAATGAGGATAATATGGTAACTTCACATTTTTTATATTTAAAAATTAAAATTAAAAACAAAATTAGATAATATGTCCTATTTTTATGGAACATAACTACCCATGTTATCTTTTCTTAATTCTAAAAATAAAAATATAAAATACAAAAATTAGAGTATTTTTGTTCATCACTTTTAATCCAAGCTGTACCATTATCATCTTTCTCAATATTTAACACGTGTGCATGAACATAACTAGAGTTCCATAAATACAAAGAAAAAAAAAAAGGTAAAAAAACAATCTTGTTAAGCTGATTTTTTTTTTTAAAGGAAAAGGTAATATATAACTTTTGTAGAATAGTTCTAAATTCTAATAGCCATGTGCTTGTGGTATTTCTTTTGAATTTTGTTCATAACATTTTTTTTTTTTTACAGATGTTACGATAATTTGCAACAAATGTCTCCCTCCTCGCCCAAAATTCTTACTCTTCTCTCTTGAATCCAAAATTCCCTAACCCAAGTGGTGGTGGCTATAAAAGTTGTTTTAATTAATATTGGGAAGTTATATTTTCATTAGAAAAAAGTTTTCATTAAAAACCAAACCAAGCCGGCCGGTTCAGTCCGATTCAGTTGGTGTTGACAGTTCATCTGTTTTTATGCCCACCCTCTCATTTCAGTTCATCCGTTTTTATGCCCACCACTTCTATATTTTGTGCATTCTGCACCAAGGTAAACGTAAGTTGCATACAATAAAGCTTGCTCTGCTGTGTGGTACTCCCAGGCCGAAAGCCAGCAAAACACAAAAAGACCAACAATAAGAAATATGAAGAGGAAAATGAATCAAGGGCTGTTGTTTGTGTTCTTTAACATACTACTTGCTACAGAAACTGAAACTGGCAGTACCAAACAGGCGGAGAGCATCTTGTGTAGGGCTGGCCAATGCGGCAACCGCACTCAAGAATTTCTCCATCAGCGAGCTCTGTGGGATACTTCTGCCAACAATCAGGATTTTCTACAGCTAGAGGCATGTCAACATGGCTTCTATCACATGTAAAGAGAAAAGGAACATGTAAGTGCAAAACTCTGAAAAACTAGATAATGTTTGGTGTGTCCAAAAGAGAAATATACTACAAATTTTCATTATATTCACATTTCTTGAACACTCAAATGAATGATCATGGCAGATGTTCTTAAAACTGAGCTAAAACTAAAGCTCGACAACTTGTGTCTATAGATGCAGCAATAACTTGCCTCGGTAGCTGTGCAGGAGGAAACCTAAGTATGCTGCCTCTTACAGAAGATGTTAAGTAGATTTATCAGGCTTATCACTTTCCTGTTCAGATTTGGAATCTTCCTTTTTCTCCATAACCTGCTGGATTCCTTCTTGGTACCCATGTATAAAACTTTGAAGAGCATCTTTATATGCAGAAGCTCTTGTCATGTAGACACGCTGTAGAGCTGGCTTTAATGTCTCCATTCCTCCTCTAGCAGCCACAGCTATCAGTTTTTATTTCCAGACAAAAACATTAAACAGAATCAGATCCATTGAACTGTAAAACTCAAAGATTTCAAATACAGTGAGAAAACCTTATTTGCGAAAACAACCCAAAAATAAAAAATAAAAAAGTTGTTTTTATCACAATGGATTTGTTTGCACCATCATAACCCGAATTTAAAAACAGAAGTTTAGAGACACAGGCAATAGACAGTATACAGTAAATCCAGATACAAAACCAGCCAGAAAGAACTGCCTTATAACACAAGTATTTGCTTTATATCTTCCATCCTTACAATATTTGTTGCTCAAACTGGTTTACTTCATCATCCTTGCATTATCTCAAAAAGATGAACCACTTTCAATCATGATGAAGCAAGTATAATGTTTCGAAGTTGTTCGGATATACAAACCACTTTTAAAAGTAACTTTCTAACCTACTGAGTTCAAGTACTTACAGCAGATTTGGTGCATATAAAATATTTGAATGGATTTAATTATTATTGTTTATGCCAGTTTGCGTATAAATATAACATGACACTAAATGTGACTCAAATCAGCAAACCAAAAGCAAAGATCTCTTACGCATCTACAGTCATCTTCATAGTCATATGTATGCATACACCATGTAAAACAACTACGCTTTTGATTAAGTTACAATTATGACATTGATTGATATGGTAGCATAATGTTGACATTACTTACCAAGATCCTCTAATGTTGAGGGTTCTTTCTCTTTAGCCGGGCCCTGTGGTCTACCAGATTTATCTTCACCCTCTTCATCCTTAAAATCATTAGGTCGCAGTTCAGGACCAATATCCCGAACCCAGCTGGCAGCATACAGCCTAGAAGCCTCCTTCAACACCTGACAGCCAATACAAGAAGGTATAAATTACCATCCTTCATGTCAATAACACACATTATAAGCTTTAACATATTCCAAGCATTGAAACAAGTTCATATCCAAATGAAAACAAAACAAAAACTCTATCTAAACCTAAAAGAAGAATAAAAGAAACAATAGCCAAATATTTCACCAGCTCAGATGGTCAGAAACAAAATATAAACTTTGACACACAGCACCTTGAATGTCAAAGCTTTCTAAAAATTGGACCCAACCCACATTTTTAAATAAACTTTTTTGCTCAATAGCACTTTTATCAGTACTGCTTTTGCCAAGAAATCCAGAGTACGCGGGGAATCAAATCAAGCTTTACTTATTATTACTTCAAAATAATCATGAATTAGATAAATAAATCAATTGGGTATGAATTTGATCAACTGCAAAGCCCACAACTCGTGTAATGAGAACCAAAGAAAGGCGTACCAAGAACCGCTCATTCCATGTGAGCTTGCGGCGCTTCTTGATATGAGGAGGGTCTGGCAGCGAAGATGGAAATGCAATCTCTTTCAGATCATAGCGAACGTAATCGTACAGCTTCCTACACACCACCCTCACCTTCATTTCTATGACGCCGCCAAATTCTCACTTTGTACCCAGTCTTCTAGCCTTCCAGTGACTTCCATATAGAGAGAGGCTTAAAGAAGAATTTCGAAGAAGAAGAAAGAGGTCGGAGAGCTGCGAATTGGGTGAAGATGAAGAGGTATCCATAGGTCCATGGGTTCATGGGTAGGTGGGCTGAACTAGCCCAACCCAAACGGTGCTGGGTTCGTCAGAAAAAAAAAAAGATTGCAAAAGCCTCAAACAAAGCATTTCTCAAAACCAATACGCAAAAGCACAACGTGATAAATTTTTGGGACATTTTGAAAAAAGCAAAAGGAGAGAGAAAAATTGTAAAAGAAGCAAAAATTGACAAAAATGCCCTTATTTATTTTTAGATTTCCTAAAGAATCCAATACAATTGCATGTCTTTGATTTGAAAGTTGAGCGGTTTTTTTGTCTTTTTTGAAAAAGCTTTGGCTTTTTCCAAAAGTGAAAATTTTTTTTATGTCTAAAACCTAAAAAACCTTAGATTTTTCTTCTTTTTTTTAACACAGGCTACATTTTTGGGGGGGTGGGTTTTTTGGAGGTTTTTATTACTCTGCACCAAGGTCAAGAATTTCAAACACAAGACTTTGGGTGTAAAAATAGCTACTCTTAATCACTTGAGCTATATTTCCATGAATTTTTTTTAAGATTTGAACCTTGCGAGAGAGATGTATGGCGGGTAACTGAGAAATCTATAGATTGTGACGTTGTATGGGAAATACAGAGAGATAAAGAAATTTTAAAAAATAAAAAATAAAAACCCATCTACGTCTTAGCCAGCTAGATATCATTAATTTTTCACTAAGATTATAAAACCGTACAACATGTGTATATTTTATTAATATTATATCCTATAAAGTATAGACTCATCATCTACCAATATTTACACAATCATACATAAAACATTTGCCCAATAGTGCCATTAACTAATGTCATGTCTAAGGTGGGACCTTTTTTTAAATAAAAAGAAGTGGAAACTAAAAGCATCTCTAGTAGAGTTAGCTACTATGATCTTTAGCCATTTTGGCTCGAATGAGGTCAAAATGTAGCTCCAGCATACTTGCTATATGGCTCTACAGTTTGAAGAACTTCCTATTTGAGTTTGGTGGCTCTCTACACAGTGAGGAGAAGAGAGAAATTGATAGTTCTCCATTTCTTCATCTTCTCTCTCCCTAAGCCCACAACCCTCTCTCACGTCTTACTTTTTGATTTTTTAATGAACTTTTAATTTTTATTACTCAAATATTTAAATTTTTAGAAATAATAAAATATTAGAGATTAGCCAAAATAGAGAACATTGTTAGAAGAAATATATTTTTTAAATAGTTTAATATAATAGCTTTTTAACCATTTTAGCTCAAATTTGGCTAAAATTTAGAGATTCTCCTAAAGATACTCTATCACCGTGCTGAGTTTTTTTCTTTCCTTTTTTTTTTTCTTTCTTATAGTTAGTATATAGGTTTTAAGGATTAGCCTAGCCCAAAATCTCACAAAACATAATCTAGTCTACCTCATTTTGAAATCTTAGGTTCATTCCTAGATTAATAAAAATTATAATTTTAAAAATAGAAATTTTGAATTAAGTTATAATTTGGGGTATTATGGTAATAAAATAGTAGTGAAATATTTTAGGTCAAATTGTAGTGGTCAAACCTTTGGCCACAAGGCTGTTCTAAGTTGGCCTTAATGAAAGAAATATCAATCCTCCAGTTGTGGTAGAGCCAGCTACTAATTTCAGTCAAATCAAAATTAAAATTTTCATCCAAGACTATCTCTTTTTTTTCTTTTTTTTTGGGGAAAAGTTGGAAGAGGTGGGGGAAAATTCACACACTAGACACTACTATAGGGGTCCAACACTGCTTGGGAGCACACCAAAGGTCTGGCACGATCCAAGTAACAACCCATCGTCATCCAAATCCCATCTAAAAGTGCATGTAAATCTCACATGCACGGTAAAAATCTATAAGTGTTTTTTTTTTTTTTTTGCCAAGCAAAAATCTATAAGTTAACCTTGTAAGATATTTTACCCTTCGATAAATTCAGGGAGCTGATTTTCCCACTCCCCCTTTCTCCACTTACACTCCCTTTTGCTTTTAAATATTTTTTAATCAATCTTTTTCTTTTTTGTTCTTTCTCTTTCCTATTCTACCCTTGTCATACATTAATTTCTTTTTACTTTAATTTTATATTATTTCTTTGGCTCAAATGTCAAAATGGTCCCTGTGTTTTATAACGTTGGCCAGTTTAGTTCATGTGTTTTTAATTTGGCCAATTTGATCCATGTGTTTAAGATCGTTAGTCAATTTAGTCTGTTTCGTGAAAATTGCCGCTAAATGAACATGATAATCTTTTTTCATTTTATTTTGAAATCCTATAAAGCTTTTTGAAGTTAATAAAAAGTTGAATTAATTTAAAAATACATTAAAAATTCAATTAAACTAAAATATATCATTAGAAAAAAGAAAAAGAAAAGAAGGACGTAGTCTAGTCGGGAAGGGGAGGAGCTGCTCAGCAGGTGGAGAAGTGGGAAGAACCATTGCGGAGTGGTAAGGTTGCAGGGGCTTTTATTATATATATTAGATGTGGGTGGATTGGAGTTGGGGAGGTCAGTGTGGATTAGAGAGTTGGGGCCTTTGGGTGTTGGTGGGGAAAGTGGATGAGGATAGAGATTGAGAAGGTTGTTGGGTTGTTCCCAATTCTATAATTGTTGTGCAGCTCCTCCCCTCCCCGCCTATGCCTTCTTTTCTTTTTTCTAATGTTTAATTCAACATTTGATTAATTTTATAAAGCATAATAGGCTTTCTAATATATATATATATATATATATATATAATATGTTTATTTAATGGCATTAAAAAAAAAAGAAATAATATAAAAATATAAAGAAAAAGAAAATGTAGTGTAAGTTGAAAAATTAAGTATAAAGAAAAAGAAATAATATAAAAAATGAAGTAAAAATAAATTAATGTAAAATAAGAATAAAATAGGAAAGAGAAAAAAAAAATTTATTTAAAAAATATTTAAAAAGAGAAAGGAATGTAAGTCAAGAAGAGGGGAGTGAGAAAAGAAGAGTGGGAAAATGAGCTCCTAAATTTATATAAGTTAACCTCATAAATGCATAAGCATCCTTCCTTCCTAGAAATACACCATCCTTCATAAAAGGAAATCCAATTAAGATGGTATCCAACTACAATTATGTCTTATATCGATACATATATATATATATATATATATATGGCTGGGGCAAAA